GCGTTATACTTGTGCAGTCTAGAAACTGTTCTGAGAGAATCATAAAACAGTGAAGGAATACTGGAATATTTGTTCAATATCTTATGTGCGAGTACGAATTTAAAGAATAGCTAGAAGTTTATTGAAAACCTGGGACGACTCTCTACTATTAACAAAAAACATACAACGAATGCAATTATTTTAAAGAGAACACAACTTGTTTAGATTTGATGGATAAGTATTTTCCCACACTACCATCGCATAATTTCAATAGGGATATATCAGTGTATAATAAAGTTGGTTAATAACATGTATACCCACGTAGTCTTTTAATTTATACAAGCTCCCAATATTTTTGGCTACCTTGCTTTTAACATGGGTAATTTGATCTTTCTAATTAAATTATTGGTCTATATAAACACCAAGGTACTTGATGCAAGTCTTCTGCTGAGAATTAAAAATATTTATAGGAGTAACTTTTTTACTTGATGAGGTTATTAACATGAAGTTAGTTTTTTTTTCATGTTAACTGATAGTTTAATTGAGAACTCTAGTCATTTCACAGTTCAGAACTGATTCAATATCATTTATGTCATCTGAAGTATGGAGGATATTAGCATCGTCAGCAAAAAGGCGAAAGGACAATTTGTCAGATTAATTGGCAATGTAATTGATATGAAGTAATAATAATAAGGAGCCTAAAGTAGATACTTGTGGTACACCACGAGTCATGATCTAACCCTAAGCTAAACCCTAACCTAACTCTAACTCTAAGCAAACTTGACTTTTCATTTCCAATTTGAACAAATTGCTTGCGATCTTGGAGATGACTTGCCAACCAATCACGCGGCCTACCACGGATACCATATTATTTGAGTTTGTCTAGCAATATTTGATAATTTACGGTATGAAATGCTTTTGAGAAGTCTAAAAAAAGCCACAAGATATAAAATACTGGCAATAGAGGCCTTCAGATTATCAGTGATCTCCATAATCGCTTGCTTAATGGAATGGCTTTTTCTCA